TTCCCTGAGAAACGGTAATATCATCCTCCATGGACATGCAAACACTTTTCATGAAGTCAAGTCCCAGATACCTGATCGGTATGTTCTCTGTCTATTTTGTAATAAGTTCATCATATATAGGTATTGTATCACACTCTAAACGCGACACACCCTGAGAATCTAGAGTATATTCACATTACAAAGATGTATCTACAATATATGTAACATAACAAGGAAATGTTCTCGTATTTCCAAACGATTTCAAAATTTCAAAAGACGTTCTCACCATTTATACCAAAACAACAAAGTATGTAATGTCACATCATTTAAGGTCATTATCACACCATTTCACATCATCACGATCGGAATTCGGGTTTTCTTTTTATCTTCCGTTTCTGCCACATAACTACAAATCCTTACAGCGATTTTTTTTTTTAAATTGATAAACTGTGGAATTGTGAGATGTTTCCGTTGAATTTTCTGGTTTTGGGATTTTCAATCTTAAAATAGCTTTTCGATTCTGTTATGTGATTATCAAAATATTTTTTTATTAAATTCTAATACCGCTTATCTACACAGTGCTATTCTTTATAGTGGTGTCTTTGATTATGATACAACATGATAATAAAAACAATTTGTTTTCTGCTCAGTTTTCAGCTTTTTTTTAATAAGAAAAAAACCCGTCCTTAATAAACACCTCCTTGTAAAAAGTGAATACATATCATGTTCACATTTACTGATTTTCGTTTAGATGCCAGTGCTTGATTTAGTCTATTAAGATTTAAGAACTTGTATTTAATTCAATAGATCATTTTTCATCATTAAATATTCTTAAATTAATGTATTTACATGACGTTCATTTGTATCTTAAAAATGAAAACCAGCTTAGTTATCCCTCAGTTGCACGTTCCATCATTTTTGAGAAATACTACTATTATCTTACAAAACATATACATAAAATCATCCGAGATATTTGGGAATATAATTTTGACGTTACAATACGAGTAGTTCAAAATTAAACTGTATTTACATGTATCCGTGGATAAGCTTATGGTTCGTAATATCGGCCAAAGTTTAAACAACCCGTATCACAATACCTTTGCTAATATACATGTTCATGTGCACTGCTTAGATTTGGAATATAACAAATATTAAATGACATATTCTCCGTCCTGTTGATTTTTTGTGAAAATAGCGCTAAGAAGGTGATATCAAACTGAGCGTCCTATAATACTTATGTTGAGGGATGGTAAATTTACCAGGAACAGTTACCAGGATAACACTTTACCCTTGCAACAAAGTCCTTTATAAACTTTACCAACATCTATCGGACCTAATTGTCATGATTGCGACTAAGGAGTGATACATTCGGATCATTAAGTTTATCCTAATACAAGTAAAAGTCACCAGTACTTAGAGAACGCATATATGCCCCTACAAATAGTTCAGATGTAAGAGACGTGTACCAGTACTGAGGGGTTGGACCCTCCGTCGTGACTCTCTGGAAAAAATACTGGACATAATGAAAGAAAAACCATACATCAGAGACTTGGTGAGCATGCATATATCGGATGACATGTGGTGCTTCTTGCCTATTTCCCAAACCTGTATAACTGTGAAGTTGACCAAGGAGCTTTAACCACCTGTTTTTACCCTAATACCTTAGACCTGTAGCTGTTTCAGGAGTCATAACAAATTGGAATTGATATGTAGAATTGTGTTGCAGGCATGTTTGCAGGTTGGTTGTTATGAAGAAATGGTTGCATAGTGACTATTGTATGCTTTGTTCACCTAATTAATTCTTCAAATAAATACTATTATGCATTTTAATATTGTGAGTGGTTATTCATATGCAGACATGTTTTGTTCTGGTTGCTATTGGAAACATCTTGACTAGCAACCGTCACTATGGTGTAAGCTCTTCCCATTATCTCGTACTCTTAAAAAGTTAAAACCGAGGAGGTGAATATTTTTACAAAAATTTAATGCTTTTATCACCATCTGAACAATTTAGACGACCAGCCTAGACTAGTAACAACGTTCAGGTTTTTTTAGTTCGTTTCTACACGGTTCAAATAGCTAAGCATGTGATAAACTGTTAACCCCTTTTCATTGGTGAATTCGGTCTCTCGCATTTCACGTTGATTTATATGTAGGTGTGCAAATAGCATGGCTCTTTTGATTAAAAGAAACAATCTTCTGATCGTTTTTCTAGGAAAATAGTTGACTGGCTCTGCTTACGAAATACCAATAAAACGTCTCGCTATGCTTGGTTTTCTAGAATAGTTTTCAGTTATGCGTTAGCAAAATTTTCATGAAAAAGCTATCGTTATTTTTATAAGCATACATGTATTTACATATCAACTACGCAATCTGACTATATGTTTACATTCTCATTTCGTGTTATCATACTTAGAAAACCTTTCAATTATTTGTCATCACTTTCGTTTTGGTTTAGGTGTAGATATACATCTATATCAAACACAAGACATGTAAAATATTGCATTGATGTGAGATCGTTGCTATATCATTATCATAAATTCAGCATAAATCATATTTAGAGAATGTCTTATTAGTAACATAATGATAAACTTCCAGTTTAAGCTGATCTCGGGTATTTATCGTTCACTATCGTCAATAAATTTGTTTTAATACAGCTAACCTTTCTTTAGAAACACTGAAAACAAGCTCAAACATATACGCTTCGTTACATCTACGAAAATGAGAAATGAATTAGTGTTCAGTTTCAATTTCTATGAATATGAAGCTGTAGTTACAACGTCCCCTTTGTCAATAATGATTGCTATTTTCTAGTAAGTACACTGTTAGGTACAGTATACCTACCCCTCATTGTTTACCTCGAGTAAGTACACTGCTAGGTACAGTCTACCTTTCACTCATTGTGTACCTCGAGTAAGTACAGTGTTAGGTACAGTATATCTACCCCTCATTGTTTACCCCGAGTAAGTACACTGCTAGGTACAGTCTACCTTCCACCCATTGTGTACCTCAAGTAAGTACACTGTTAGGAACAGTCTACCTTCCACTCATTGTTTACCTCGAGTAAGTACAGTGTTAGGTAAGTCTACCTTCCACTCATTGTGTACCTCGAGTAAGGACACTGTTAGGTACAGTCTACCGTCCACTCATTGTGTACCTCGAGTAAGTACACTGTTAGGTACAGTCTACCTTCCACTCATTGTGTACCTCGAGTAAGTACACTATTAGGTACGGTCTACTTTCCACTCATTGTGTACCTCGAGTAAGTACATTGTTAGGTACAGTCTACCTTCCACTCATTGTCAACCTCGAGTAAGTACACTTTTAGGTACAGTCTACCTTCCACTCATTGTTTACCTCGAGTAAGTACACTGTTAGGTACAGTCTACCTTCCACTCAATGTGTACCTCGAGTAAGTACACTGTTAGGTACAGTCTACCTTACACTCATTGTTTACCTCGAATAAGTACACTGTTAGGTACAATCTACCTTCCACTCATTGTTTACCTCGAGTAAGTACACTGTTAGGTACAGTCTACCTTCCACTCAATGTGTACCTCGAGTAAGTACACTGTTAGGTACAGTCTACCTTACACTCATTGTTTACCCCGAATAAGTACACTGTTAGGTACAATCTACCTTCCACTCATTGTTTCCCTCGAGTAAGTACACTGTTAGGTACAGTCTAACTTCCCCTCGTTGTTTACCTCGAGTAAGTACACTGTTAGGTACCGTCTACCTTCCACCCATTGTTTACTTCGAGTAAGTACACTGTTAGGTACGATCTACCTTCCACTCATTGTTTACCTCGAGTAAGTACACTGTTAGGTACAGTCTACCTTCCACTCATTGTTTACCTCGAGTAAGTACACTGTTAGGTACAGTCTACCTTCCACTCATTGTTTACCTCGAGTAAGTACACTGTTAGGTACAGTCTACCTTCCACTCATTGTTTACCTCGAGTAAGTACACTGTTAGGTACAGTCTACCTTACACTCATTGTTTACCCCGAATAAGTACACTGTTAGGTACAATCTACCTTCCACTCAGTGTTTACCTCGAGTAAGTACACTGTTAGGTACAGTCTACCTTCCACCCATTGTTTACTTCGAGTAAGTACACTGTTAGGTACGGTCTACCTTCCACTCATTGTTTACCTCGAGTAAGTATACTGTTAAGTACAGTCTACCTTCCACTCAATGTGTACCTCGAGTAAGTACACTGTTAGGTACAGTCTACCTTCCACTCATTGTTTACCTCCAGTAAGTACACTGTTAGGAACAGTCTTCCTTCCACTCAATGTATACCTCGAGTAAATACACTGTTAGGTACAGTCTACCTTCCACTCATTGTTTACCTCGAGTAAGTACACTGTTAGGAACAGTCTACCTTCTACTCATTGTTTACCTCGAGTAAATACACTGTTAGGTACAGTCTACCTTCCACTCATTGTTTACCACGAGTAAGTACACCGTTAGGTACAGTCTACCTTCCACTCATTGTTTACCTCGAGTAAGTACACTGTTAGGTAGAGTCTACCTACCACTCATTGTTTACCTCGAGTAAATACACCGTTAGGTACAGTCTACCTTCCACTCATTGTTTACCTCGAGTAAGTACACTGTTAGGTAGAGTCTACCTTCCCCTCATTGTTTACCTCGAGTAAGTACACTGTTAGGTAGAGTCTACCTTCCACTCATTGTTTACCTCGAGTAAGTACACCGTTAGATACAGTCTACCTTCCACTCATTGTTTACCTCGAATAAGTACACCGTTAGGTACAGTCTACCTTTCACTCATTGTTTACCTTGAGTAATTACACTGTTTGGAACAGCTTACCTTCACTCATTGTTTACCTTCATTTACTTTCATATTAAACTAGTTAACTGTGTGTACCCTATTACATATTTTTGCAGGATCGACTAAGTTTGGGGCCATGGAGGAATACATGTTTTTGTGTGATCATCGCCTCCTGAACACGCACAAAGGTGTTGATGTTGATGGCGTAGGCGCGGTGGTGGATGTTGAGCGGTAGTGGTGGTGATTGGGGCATCGATGGTTGTGGCATTGCTGGCGATGGTGGTGGTGGTATTGATGATGATGGTGGTATTAATGGTGATGGTGTTATTGATGGTGGTGGTGGTATTGATGGTGGTGGTGGTATTGATGGTGATAGTGGTATTGATGGTGATTGTGGCATCGATGGTTGTGGCATTGCTGGCGATGGTGGTGGTGGTATTGATGGTGATGGTGGTATTTATGGTGATGGTGTTATTGATGGTGGTGGTGGTATTGATGGTGGTAGTGGTATTGATGGTGGTATTGATGGTGGTGGTGGATGATAGCGATCACGTTAGTTACCTATAGTAGTAGTACTCGTAGCGTTAGTACTAGTAGGATAGCACAAACTACTTGTAAGGTGTCTTACGGCAGCGTAATATGTGAAGTTCTTGCTTTTTGGCACTCTGCCACTTCAATATATTAAGATATGTTTTGCTATTTTTATGAAGCAGGTCATGCACTCTTAGTTGTAAGATACAACGTTTTGTAAAAAGTAAAGTATACTGATACATGTATAAATACATCATGTTAATGTGTTGAGATAAAGGGTATGAAGTGTCATTATCTGTTGTCAGCAAATTACCATTACCCAAGTAATTCAGTGAGTGACAAGGAAAACGTGAACATTTAAACTTTTAATCCCCATAGGTCGTTTAATGTGCTTTAATTTCATAGGATCAAGTTGCATGGTTTCGCCTGCAGAACATTTTACCTGGGTTTAACTAAATGACTGCTGGTATATTGTCACATCGACAGGTCATCAATTTAGTCGTAAGAACACGCTTCCATGCTTAATTTAACGATTGCTTTGACATTCATTCCTGGTACCGCTATACAAATTCTGTCGTAGATAACGCCACATTGCATTACGAAGAAAACTATTATTACTCGTCATTGTAGGGTGTCTCTGCACACGAAAGCACCTCCTAGTAGTAAGTCCTTCAAACGAATTGTACACGTGATAAAGTACCTAGTACGGGGCAGGGGTCGATCAGCTAAGTGTTTGTATATTTTTGTACGTATGTCATATATCAAAATTGTTTTGCATAAATGCACGCCCTAAACCAAACATTTAGCATGTCACAAGAAACTTGTGGAACGAAGGGGAATATTTAAGCCCCTACCCCTCATACAAGTTTATACCGGGGAAACCCTTTGGAAAAGACATGACGACGCTTGGTATTTATAGTTCGGTTTAGGTCAAGAAATATTAAAACAAAATAAGAAAATATAGGGACTTTACCATTCATTTATTTTGCATGCTATATTTGAATATGTGACAACAGTACAGATGACATTACAATAAGTTCAGTTGCTTTTATGTTGCAAAATATAACAGCGCGTAATTACTTCGTGTTTTAATAGAATACATATATACTTATGCAAATATCAAGGAACGATGGGGGATTTTTAAATTGTTTCCAACGCCTGCGATATTGCTACTTATTTCACTCATACAACACATCAACTATGAAACACTTCTTTGATTGTCTACTGTATTGTCTAAAACACAATAGGTGATCCTTCAACCAATAGAAGTCAGGTTAATTCAAATATGTGTGTTTTTAGCAGATAGGTATACGTGTTTTAAATGTGTCCTTTATATTGTTCAAGGTCGATAACAGATAATCAATATATTGTCCCGTATTTGAGTCACCGTTTACATATATAACTTCCGCTTATCAGGAAATGCATAAGATTCAAATTACAAAATCTCTGGTTAGAAACAAACAGAGAAGTCTCCTGGTGATATAGATTTTAATCGGATAGTTAGTTTTGTCAATTCGGGCCATTCCGTTGTCATGTCATTCCCCTACTGATTATCATTATAATGATTATAATTGGTTATTTGATGTTGTCAATTAGGGCCATTCCATTGTCATTCAATACCCCTGGTTATATTAATTATGATTAGTTAGTTAGTTTTGTCAATTCGGGCCATTCCATTGCCATTCCATACCCCTGGTGATATTAATTATAATTAGTTAGTTGATTTTGTCAATTAGGGCCATTTCAATGTCATTCCATTCCCCTGGTTATATTAATTATGATTAGTTAGTTGATTTTGTCAATTCGCGCCCTTGTCATTACATACCACTGATGAGATATATCACAATTGTTTAGTAACTTGTGTTTATTCGGTCAAATGTCATTTCATTCTTTGATGAATCATTAAAAATGTGACTAATGATAAGGACGCGGACCCGCTTCGTTTGTATTGGATTACCATTCTCAGTACCATTTAATCAGGGGTAGTTCTGAAATAACTAATTCTTAAATCTCCCCGCCAAAAAAACGTACATAACTTGAGCAAGTCAAATAATTGGTAATGCTACCTTAATAATTACGTACTTTTAATTTTAAAACTGTTGTTTGTCTACATTTCTACTGATTTCATCAGCTATTCTTCAGCATGGTAAATCAAATCGATGTAGACAAAATGGTAGATCTCTAACGATATCTCTCTCTATGATAAGACAGCGTCAGTGACCTCATTTTGTTAGTAAATGATCGTTCCTCTACAATGATTGATAATGAATTTATTCGATTTATTTCAAACTTAAATGGTTCTCAAGGTGTTTGTTTTTAATAATTCATCTATCTTTATGATACGTAAAAGTTATCACCTAATTAATTCAATGCTTGTTAAGAAATTGTAGCTCGCAATGCTATGTAAACAGGTTTATGTTTGTTTACGTGTGTGTGTGTGTGTGTGTGTGTGTGCGTGTGTGTGTGTGCGTATGTGCGTGTGTGTCCGCGAGTGCGTGCGTCCAAATCGAGGTATACAAGGCGAAGTACACAAGGAGAGGTATACAAAGCGATGTAAACAAAGTGAGGTATTCATAGCGATGTACACAAGGCGAGGCACACAAGGCGAGATATACAAAGCGAGGTACACAAGGCGAGATATACAAGCTTAAGGCGAGGTATACAAAGCGAGGCATACAAGGCGAGGTATACAAAGTGAAAGTGCACGAGGCGAGATATACAAAGCGATATACACAAGGCGAGGCACACAAGGCGAGATATACAAAGCGAGATACACAAGGCGAGATATAAAAATATACGTACACAAGGCGAGATATACAAATATACGTACACCAGGTAAGATATATAAAGATAGGTACACAAAGCAAGGTACACAAGGCGAGATAAAAAAAAGATAGGTACACACAGCGAGGTACACCAGGAGAGACATGAAAAGATAGGTACACAAGGCGAGATATACAAAGCGATGTACACGAAGGGAGGTACAAAAAGCGAGGTACACATTGCGAGGCACGAAAAGCCAGGTACACAAGGCGACGAACACTAGGCGAGGTATACAATGCGAGGTACACAAGGCAAGATATACAAAGCGCGGTACACAAGGCTATGTATACAAAGCGAGGTACACAAAGATAGGTACAAAAAGCGAGGTACACAATGCGAGGCACAAAAAGCCAGGTACACAAGGCGACGTACACTAGGCGAGGTATACAATGCGAGGTACACAAGGCGAGATATACAAAGCGATGTAAACAAAGTGAGGTATTCATAGCGATGTACACAAGGCGAGGCACACAAGGCGAGATATACAAAGCGAGGTACACAAGGCGAGGTATACAAGCTTAAGGCGAGGTATACAAAGCGAGGCATACAAGGCGAGGTATACAAAGTAAAGTGCACGAGGCGAGATATACAAAGCGATATACACAAGGCGAGGTACACAAGGCGAGGCACACAAGGTTAGATATACAAGGCGAGATACATAAGGCGAGGCACACAAAGTGCAGTACACAAGGCGAGATATACAAATATACGTACACCAGGTAAGATATATAAAGATAGGTATACAAAGCAAGGTACACAACGAGATAAAAAAAAAGATAGGTACACACAGCGAGGTACACCAGGAGAGACATGAAAAGATAGGTACACAAGGCGAGGCACGAAAAGCGAGGTACACATTGCGAGGCACGAAAAGCCAGGTACACAAGGCGCCGTACACTAGGCGAGGTATACAATGCGAGGTACACAAGGCGAGATATGCAAAGCGCGGTACACAAGGCTATGTATACAAAGAGAGGTACACAAAGCGAGGTACAAAAAGCGAGGTACACAATGCGAGGCAAAAAAAGCCAGGTACACAAGGCGACGTACACAAGGCGAGGTATACAAAGCGAGGTACACAAGGCGAGATATACAAAGCGAGGTCAACAAGGTGAGGACACAAGGCAAAATATATAAAGCGCGATACACAAGGCGAAAAACATGTATACAAAGCTACGTACACGAGGTACATGTACACAAGGCGAGATATACATGGTGAGGTACACAAGGCGATTAAAAGAAGGTGAGATATACAAAATAATGTACACAAGGTGGGATACACGAAGCGAGGACACAAGACGAGATATACAAAGCGAGGTACACTAGGCGGTATTTACAAAGAGCGGTACACAATGCGAGATATATCAAACCAAGGTTCAAAAGGCGAGGTACACAAGGCATGGACACAAAGCGAGACACACAAGGCGAGATATACAAAGTGAAAGTGCACGAGGCGAGATATACAAAGCGAGATACACACGGCGAGGTACACAAGGTGAGGCACACAAGGCGAGATATACAAGGCGAGATACACAAGGCGAGGTACACAAGGCGAGGCACACAAGGCGAGATATACAAGGCGAGATACACAAGGCGAGATATACAAATATACGTACACCAGGTTAGATATATAAAGATAGGTACACAAAGCAAGGTACACAAGGCGAGATAAAAAAAAAGATAGGTACACACAGCGAGGTACACCAGGAGAGACATGAAAAGATAGGTACACAAGGCGAGGCACGAAAAGCGAGGTACACATTGCGAGGCACGAAAAGCCAGGTACACAAGGCAACGTACACTAGGCGAGGTATACAAGGCTAGATATACAAAGCGCGGCACACAAGGCTATGTATACAAAGCGAGGTACAAAAAGCGAGGTACACAATGCAAGGCACAAAAAGCCAAATACACAAGGCGACGTACAATAGGCGAGGTATACAATGCGAGGTACACAAGGCGAGATATACAAAGCGAGGTCAACAAGGCGAGGACACAAGGCAAAATATCTAAAGCGCGATACACATGGCGAAATACATGTATACAAAGCTACGTACACGAGGTACATGTACACAAGGCGAGATATACATGGCGAGGTACACAAGGCGATTAAAAGAAGGTGAGATATACAAAAGAATCTACACAAGGTGGGATACACGAAGCGAGGACACAAGACGAAATATACAAA